AAAATGTTCTGAACTCTTGCTTTCTGAGGTGATATATTTTGGAGTAGACAGAAAGTGTGATCCAACATAAATAGTAACTGTTACTATTACAAAATGGAGAAATGTTTATTTCATAAGAAAGATCTTTAGACAGAATTATTTTCAGTGTGCCATTATAGGCTTAATAGTTAAAGGTTAAAGGTTAAAGGTTTATTGCATTTATATGCCGCCCTATTCCCGGAGGGACTCAGGGCGGCTAACAAACCCAAGGGAGGGGGGGAGTACACACAAGGTAACACAACAAACAAGATACAGAGAAAAGTTTAAAAACAATCAACAGTCACACTATTCGAGCGGGGAAGGCAACTCGTCAACCCCAGGCCTGCCGGAACAGCACAGGAGTTCGTTCCAGAGGGCCGGAGCAACCACAAAGAAGGCCCTCCTCCGGGTGGTCGCCAATCGACATTGGCCTGTAGATGGAATCCAGAGGAGACCTAATCTGTGGGCTCTAATGGGTCTTTGGGAGGTAATTGGCAGCAGGCGGTCTCTCATTAAGTCACTTTCACATCCATTTTGGTTAAAAATTAACTCAAAGATCAACATCTTTTTCAAGTTTGGGATAGTGTTATATAATCTCATGTGATTGGTATGAAATTTCCCCATCATCCATCACGTGCCACCCCCCCCACCCCAATTTGAAAATGATTTCAAACATTAAATTTTTTAAAATTTCCAAACATTTATTTTAGGGAATTGCAAGAAATTTACAGGCTAATAGATTGGAAGCTGACCAGAGTAGATTATAAGATGGGTGGCTTTATAAATGTTTTAAATAAATAAATAAAATAAATAGTAGATAATTGAGTTTCTAGCCTCAACAAATGCTGTTTCTGACTAGACACATTGCTTAAAAATAAAACTGTTCTGGGAAATTTCCAAACATTTATTTTAGGGAATTGCAAGAAATTTACAGGCTAATAGATTGGAAGCTGACCAGAGTAGGTTATAAGATGGATGGCTTTATAAATGTTTTAAATAAATAAATAAAATAAATAGTAGATAATTGAGTTTCTAGCCTCAACAAATGCTGTTTCTGACTAGACACATTGCGTAAAGATAAAACTGTTCTGGAAAGTGACGTTAATGAAAACTAACAAAAAGTTTCACTTTTCTAGAGCCATCTGAAAAATTTCTTAAGTAGAAGAAAAATAAGCAGGTTGTTGTTTGTGACTGAAAATGTAATCACATGTGTGGATGTAATTATAGTATTCATATGGCACGCTATAAAACCTAATCAGTAATACATAGTATCATATTAACATAGCAAACTAAATCTGATACAGAATAATTATTATTAGCTGAATAATGGCTTCAAATAATGTACGATCCACAGGAATGCCAACTACAAGAGAAACTCAATACGATCACTCCAAAATCACAAAATAACAACTCAGAACTATGGATCAAAAATCTATCCAGCAGATCTTTATCTGATGATGAAAAGACCATCCTCATACACAGCCTCACAAACTCTGAGAACAAACCTTCACCTAATCCTACACTGAGCTACAGATATTTGCCACTACTGTATTTCAAAACAAAAGTGTATTTCTCTGTCTTAGAACCAAAGACAGAAGGAATTCAGTAGTACATCTGCAGTACCCAAGAAGTAGTTCCTCTTTTGTTTGTGTCAACATTTTTATGTATACATACTTGTGTCTCTTAGTGCCATACACATATTTCATAATCTGATTGGATACTAAGTTTTCGATGTTATGCCCTCTCCCCCAAATTTCATTGGTCATTCACTACTTTGTTGGTCACTTTATTGGTTATCATATTATTATGTGAGGGTCATGAGCCTTTAAGAAACAGGCTTATTTTATATGTTATAATTGTAATAAATTATTTTATCAATAGATATTTTATTGTATTCTTTTATTTTGTGTCTTATTGAATGTAGGTACAAGCATAAGGATACATAATAAACTGCTACCAGTGGTAATGGATAAGAGATTCCATCAAAGATAAATATCATAGAATCTCAGGCCTCAGGATCAAATTCCACTCCCTGTTTCTGTAAAAATCCAAATTAAAGCATACCCAACATTGACAATTATTCCATATTTTGAACTCTGGAGATAGAGAGCAAGTTGTCCTCGTCTTATAACATTCTTTCATTTTTCTGAAGAGTGTTATCATATCCTGTCTGGTCATCTTCAATCTTCTTAAGGCTAAACATTCAATTTCTTCAGTCATTCATTGTAAGATTGATGTATCCAATCTCCTGTTTATTCTCATTAACATTCTCATTGCACGATCCAATCTCTTTGAACTTTTTAATGAGTGGTGCTTAAAATAAACACAATATTTGAAGCATAATAGCCATTAGTCTTCAATATTTAAGAAAGAGATTGAATTCAATGGCCTACATTCTTCCTTCCTTTTACCATTAATGGTAATAAACTAAGTAATGATTCCTTGCCCCAGAATTTAAAGAGTAAGAATTAAGATTAAGAATTATGTGTAGCTTCACAGTAATGGGTCAGCTGCAGTGGTGGGTTCCTGCCAGTTCTAACCTCTTCTATAGAAGAGGTTCCACAAATCTACCGTCCCCTTTAGAACCGTTCCAGCTCCTTCCCCCCGTCCATCCGCACCACAACAATAGCCATTCCACTAGGAATTATCCAGAACCAAAGACAAAATATAGAAGGATGAAAGAAACAATGTAAAAAAAAAATCAACTGTACAAGTGGTGGGATTCAAATTTTTTTACTACTGGTTCTGTGGGTGTGGTTTGGTTTGGTTTATTGGATTTATATGCCGCCCTTCTCCCAAGGACTCAGGGCGGTGTACAACATTAAAAAAACACATATTACAAAAGTTAAAAAAAAATAAAAAAAAATTAAAAAAAAATAAAAAGAATATCCAAAACAAACCCAATTAAGATTAACAATAACATTTTTTAAAAACAAATTTGATTAAAATTAATAATAAATAATTTGTTTTGTTTTGTTCAGGCCAGGCTGGCTTGCTGGAAAAGCCAACTTTTTAGGGCGCTCTGAACTGTACCCATTGCAACCAATTATACATTGGACAAACATCACATCAATTAAAAACCAGGATCCACTAGTCAAAAATGCCAGGATTCCATATCCTTAATCTCTATCCACACTGACACCAAACAGCACCAATTCAATTGGATCAATACAAAAATCATCAGCCACATTGCTACCTGCCAGGCTTGTGTGTTCATTGAAGCCTGGCATGCCACAAGCAATTCAATCAACAGACACATTGACCTACAATCAGCTGCACAGCCCACCAGAGACAGAACTGATGCTCAACCAACCCATGCAACCCCCGCACACTAGCAGTTTACCTCCCAATGACCCTGACGTGATATAATCTTATATTATGACAAGACCCATCATTGATGACTCACAGCCCATACCTGAAACCCTTATAAGCAAAAGAACACTGGCACTGCCATCCCCTAAACTCTGCTGAAAAGTGTTACCTATCCTGTAATAAAACGTTCAGAAACCAACCCATAAGCTCAGAGAATGAACCTTCACCCTTGCACTCCCCCCCCCCCAGTCCTGCTCTTTAAAAACTGAAGTTTACGAAACCTTGGAATTTGATACCAGAGTTTAAAGAAAATATTATTAGGCCTGACCAGCTGTTTCTAATGTTGTTCTTTGAAACTGCTTTTGTGCCTATTCCAGAAGAGCTGAAAACTGGTGAAAAGAGGGAGCAAAAGTTAACAGTGGCACCTCCTGGACAATAGTTCTCAGAAAACTCTAGGCAGAACCTTGTAGACATCATATTCTCAAACTCTCTTACAACTTTTTCTGAAATATAGTTTACTAATTAAAATATATTGTAAACAATTAACAAAGGAAATAAAGTTAGGAATATTGCTTGCTACTTGTCCATGAAGTTGCAAATGTTTTATAGCAAATAAAAATGCATACGAAACATATATAAATTATTCAATTAAACTGATTTAGGCTGCAATCTTATAGCCTACAAAGTGTTGCCAAAATTGTCACTGATTTTCTCCCTTTGAGGTTAAAGACAAGGCTCCAGTCTTGAAGAAAGAACAGCCTCTTTGGCTGCAATTTTGTGATTTGTATGTAGGAAGGATTCAAAACTATTTTGAAGTGTTAATCTACTGTCACTGGACAGACATTGGGGTCATTGAACTATTCTAAAGTACTATTAGAATTACTCTGCTGGTAATCAGTTTTAATATGTTGTAATAGAATTTTGGGATGTTGTGGTAAACTAATTGTAAGTTTTTATTTATTTTTCAAACTGAATATTCTGCAAATATTAAACCCTTGTATTTGTAACTGAAGAAATATTATAATTTTAATTAAGTTCTATGATTACACTATGTTATTAGCTAAGAAAACTTTACAATTTGAAATCACAAATTTGTCTGATAAAAGGAACTATGATCCATTTGAGATTATAATTGTTAGTCTTTAAAATAGTACATGACTTTCGTTTTTGTAGCAAAACAATAACGGATGAAAATTGTTTTAATGGCATGTAAACAAATAAAAAAGCAAAAAAGAGATGGAAGGGGAATGATATAAACATGTGTCAGTCTTAATTTTGTACTCATTTTCAGATTGATGTGAAACATCTTAAACATAAGGAACATGCATCATTTTAGTTGCATTAATATCTTTACAAATGTAAATGGTAAGCCCAGAATAGGAACTCTGCCTTATGAATGTGAAAAAATGTAATTTAGCCCCTTTTTAAACTCATTGATGTTCCAGTAGTAATGTCCTTTCTGACTTCATGACATTAAGAAGTAGATTCTTATTGGTTTTTGTTCTCACTGCTATATGTTATACATATTTCTCCTTCTACTCCTTCTCCTTCCTCCTCCTCCTCCTCCTTCTCCTCCACCACCATCACCACCATCAGCAGCAGCATTTTGGGTGTTGAAGGAAATACATATATCACATATATATATTATACTGTGTATTTAATTTTCACAGGGTGAAAGAGGTTTGCCAGGTTTACAAGGCTTAGTTGGATTTCCTGGAGTACAAGGACCAGAAGGGCCTCCAGGAGCCTCCGGAACAAAGGTAAAATGAACCTTATGCCAAACATTAACTTGCAGAATAGTACTTGAAATCCTGATAACAATAAACAAATAAATTTTTGTATCTTTCCGTAGGGTGATACTGGAGAACCAGGACTACCAGGAACAAAAGGAACGAGAGTAAGTTTGCATGAAACGTTATTGCTGCTATACATATCATGATGGTTGTAGTTTGTGTAATAAGCCATAGTAGCCTTGTCTACATAATATTCCAAATCATTAGTTATGGATTGCAAATCACAATAACTGGGTGCATGTAACACACTACGTTATAATCAAATACACTGCATTCTGCTGAGCATGATGCATACTAGTTTTTTAAAAGTAGCATTGAACATGTTAGTCATTCTTAATTTGTTGTATTTATTACATGGTAGTGTGCATCACCCTTTGTAGAGCACAATTTGCATGTCCTGAATGTTTATAATTACTTTTTCACTTTCTTACTAGAATGCAGTTCGATCTACTTAATGGTAATCAGTGTTAATGCTCAATGATGTGAAAATGACAGTGAAGTAGCTATTTACACTTAAATCTTATCAAATGTCATTTGATCTGTTGTTTGCAAGTAAGAACAGGAAAGTATTCAACAGTTTATTAACAATCTAGCTAAAATATTCAAAGAAAAATGAAATATACTCCCATAAAAAAAATTAGAATGCTTTGGTGGCTTAAATATCTTTTGGTGGTTGGGATCTGAAGTTGTTGTTCTCAAGGATTGTCAGAGAGTAAATGCTTCTCTGAGTTTAGAAGTTCACGCAAGTGCCTCACAATAACATCTAGCCACCCTGTTTATCAGCCTCTGTTTCAATTGATTTCGATTTTCCCAGCATCAGAAAAAATTATTATATCTTCTCAAGTTATTGCAGGTAGTCCTTGCTTGAAGCGGTAAGATTTTCCATTACTAAGCAATGTCATAAAGCATAATATCACATGAGCATGTCTCTTAGTAAAAGCAGTTCCAGTAGTTCCCGGTTACAATAGTTAAATGAATCACATTGGTTGTTATGCAAGGACTTCATGTAACCACGATTTTTGGCATCCTGCCAGCTTCCCAATTCACTTTGCTTGTGGAAAGCCTGCAGAGAAGGCAACAAATCGCAATCATGTGACTGAGGGACATTCAATGGTTAGAAATCCAGGCTGGTTGCCAAGCACTTGGCCCATGATCATGAGACTGTGAGGGTATGATGATGGCCATAATATTGCGGATTGGTAAATATTACTCATTCAGCACCATCCTAAATTCAAAAAGGTTACTGGTTTCTGGATGAGGAAAATGGCAGATAAGACATCTCTGAAAGTGCAGAGACAACAATGCGGTAATAATGTGGCAATAACCAATGGACTGGTAGCAAACTCGGTCCAATAGAACTTCTGTGGACAAGGTGAGGATGAAGGAGCACTCGCATATGCAGGAGATGGCAGGACAGGGTTTCTCCCATAGTCTGAGCATTTTGAGATGAAGGAAACCACCAAGCCATTAACTGTAGCACAGCCTTGAAGAACATTAAATTAGTCAAATCTCACTTTTTGGATCTACGATTAATGTAAAGTTAAAGAGATCTTTCAAAGAACCAGACAAATTTATCTGACCAGAAAAATTTTGAGTATTAGAACTTGCTAAGAATTTTGAAAATGTGAGTAAATAAAACAAAACAAGCCTGAGATTTTGTGAATACAGTATGAAAATGGGACAGTTCAGGGGCCTAAAGATCCAGTCGGGAAAAGGAACAGTGAAGCTTGCAAAAAGCAGACAAAGGCATGACACTTCATTTCAAAGTATCTTTGAGGAATTAGAAGAGAAACTTACAACTAAATTGACAGCAATAATTTCTATAGCTGCCAACATATTTCTTAAAGACTTTAAAGAAGTTAAAAATGTCAAAGATGAGGAAGAGAAATCCCCCAAAATATAGAAATATTGGAAAATAAAGAAAGGGTGGAATATAAAACAGTTAATTGTTAAAGTGGAATTATAAATGACAATGGAAAACAACTAGGACAAGGATATTGTTCCTGGATTTACAAAAAAAGTTTTCAAGAGTTCAGAAGAAAACTTTGAGATGGGAGAAAGAAAGTTTGAATGGGGGAATTAAATTTTGATGAATTAAAGATTAAAGCTGTTAAAGATAAAAGGAAGGAACATAAAGCTGATTTATTTTATCAGTGATAAAATAAGAACAATCTATAAAATTCTGGAAACCCTTAATGGACTTTTTGCCAATACTTGGCAATGGTGTTTTGGAGGGGAATGTCAATGGGGTTCAGAATTACAGAAGCAGCATAATGACATCACAAGTCCTTCCCCTGCTCTATATGTATTATGATGTTGCATACTAACATGAAAGGGAAGACCTTATGGTACAGAACTGCTTTCAGTATGTATCAACTGTATTAAAACTAAAAAAATGGTTGAGAATGTGACTGTTATTATATGTGTTTCTGATGGTTTAAAATGTCCCTCATGAACAATTTCTTGATGGTACTATTTACATTCTTTTTATCATTTCCTCAAAACTTAGGGGCCTCCTGGTTCAGCAGGCTATCCTGGGAATCCTGGCCTTCCGGTGGGTATAAAATCAAGGTTGCAGCTGAAACACATTCAAGGTTTTATTTCAGCAGGAATAACCTACTGATCACTGTTTGCTTTTCTTTCTGAACCTCAGGGCATCCCTGGAGGTGATGGCCCGGCTGGTCCTCCTGGGATCCCAGGATGCAATGGAACAAAGGTAAACTGTTTTAAACAAGTATTTTGAAGCTCTTTTTAAAAATCCATGAATTAAAGACATTTTTTTTCTCTTCCATTAGGGAGAAAGAGGTTCTCATGGCCCACCTGGTTTACCTGGCTTACCTGGCAATCTCGTAAGCATTTTAAAATCATTTGTTTTAACTGAAATCAAAGCAAGTATAATAAAAAATAAATATGAAAATCGATGGCTCAGTTTGCAATACAAAATTTAATTGTGGAACAATAATTAAAACAACTGGCTATTTTTTTTAATTTCTCAGACAATGTTATATTTTCTAGGGACTTCCAGGAGTTCCAGGAATAAAGGTACATTTTCTAATTAAGAACATACCTATCATTTATTGTTTATATGATATGTGGATTTGCTACTCTAACAGAACTCAAAAAAATCATTTGTTCAATTGGTCATAGGACAAAAAAACAACATCCATAGAAGGTTAAACATTTGGGCTAACTCAAAATGTCACAGAGTAATGAACAGCTTGATTTATTAAAGAAAACCAAGAGTTCCCTCTCATTGTAAAAACAGAAAGGAAAAATCAGTTTCCTACATGATGTTGCCTGAGTAATTGTTTCTTCTCTCCCTTGTAAAATATTAGCAGTCCTAATGTTGCCCGTTCTAAATTTGGAACTAGCATTCTTTTCTCTTTGAGAACAAAGAATCACTTGCATTATTGGACTTTTGGAAAAACATACTTCATTTCTCTTTTGAGGAAAAAGGAGCTGCAGAGAACACACTTTGATTCCCTGAGTCTCTTTTGAGAGTGGGCGGCATACAAAATTTAATAAATAAATATATAAATAAATAAGTGGGGCCTGATGCAAGTTTCCTGTTTTTTAAAAAAAATCCCCTTTCCTGGCGTTTTTAAAGGGCCATTTACCACAAAAGAAGTCATGAGGACCCCAGATTATTGGAGGCAATATGCTACTCTGTAAACTGCTTAGAGAGTGCTGTAATGACAGAATATGTCACAGGAAATAAGAATAGACCTTCATCCAGACTAAGGAAAGATTCCAGTTTGGAGCTCTGCATGAGTATCTTTTTTTTTGTCAAAGAAAAATGGTCAGTTTCTTTTATAATGACGGGCTGCTCCATTGCTGCAACCATACTGTAAAATTCTTTCCAAAAGAAGCATTTTTGTTCAGTTACAACTTTTCCATTCAATTCACAGGAAGGAAGGATTAGAGGAACTAAATAGCTTAGCATTGAGAGGAGGGCCCCACAGTAGGCACCTGTTTTTGCTCAGGTCTGTTCAAATATATATCAAATAGGTGGATCAAAGATCTCACTTGTGGTTTTCACGTTGAATTGCTGAAACACTATAAAACAAGTTTAGTTCTCAAAAAAAAAAAAAAAAACAAGGAGAACCGTCCTTTTTCTAATAAAAAGGATGCAACTAATGGAACCTATCAGCTCCCTTTTGCAACCAATAATTTTGTCCGTCTTTTGTACATTTTAAAAGTTTACTATCAATCTGAGGGGCAAATAGAATAGCAATAGCACTTAGACTTATAAGCATAGTGCTTTACAGCCCTCTCTAAGCAGTTTACAGAGTCAGCATATTGTCCCCAACAATCTCGGTCCTCATTTTACCAACCTCAGAAGGATAGAAGGCTGAGTCAACCTTGAGCCTGGTGAGATTCGATCTGCCAAACTGCTGGCAGCCTGTGATCATCAGAAGTAACCTGCAGTATTGCACTCTAACCACTGCACCACCATAGCTCTTAAAGAAAAAGAAATATAAAATATAACTATAGCAATAACACTTAGACCTATATACTGCTTCACAGTGCTTTACAGCACTCTCTAAGCAGTTTACAGAGTCAGCATATTGCCTCCAATAATCTGGAGTCCTCATTTTCCTGACCTCGGAAGGCTGGAAGGCCGAGTCAACCTCAAGCTCGGTAAGGATTGAATTCCTGGCTGTAGGCAGAGTAGCCTGCAATACTGCATTCTAACCACTGTGCCACCAGAAGTTTTAAAAACTTCCATGGGACAAAAATTATTGTATAACTAGAGCAGGGCTGTCAAACTCCTGGTCTGTAGGCCAGATGCCTCACACACTGGCGCACCCACACCCAGTTTAATGAAGGGGGGAAAGTCTGATATGTCACATGACGCCACCACAACGACGTGAGTTTGATAGCCCTGAACTAGATAATAATTAGATTTCTGTTTTATTGCTATTTCTGCTTTGTCCATGTCTTGTTCTTTTGGTTAAAAGCCAGCTTAAAGACCTCAAAAAGTTTTCTTGCTATTTTGCAGCATTTTAATGAAATCCTTAAAAACTTTAATATATCATCAAATGTAAAATTTAAAATTAATTACGGTTATTGATAAGTCCTCAATTTTTACTCAAACAGGTGAACAGCAGCAGCAATGCTCTTGTACTAATTGTAATCTATTATTTTTAAATCTGTGTCATATAGGGAGACCCAGGAGAAATTATTTCAATCCTGCCAGGTGGTTTTCAAAAGGGTGAGAAAGGATTGCCTGGACATACTGGACAACCAGTAAGTTTTATTCTAACTAGCAAAGATCACAATTTTGATAAATGTGGGGTGATGAGAGGAGGCAAAGGAGAATCTTGTTACTGCAGAAGCCTTAGAAAAGGAAGTGACTTGTATTTCTATACAAGTCTTTACCCCCCCCCCCATAAGTCCATCAGAAAGACAGAATCGAAAAGTTATGAATATAAATAGTGAAACACCATATGACTGCAGAAGAGAAGGGGCATAGAAGAATCCACAAAGATTTGCCCCTGATCAACTCTGGTATCCTGGGCATGTTGCTTCCTTTGAGGATCTGGACTAATCTGGAAAGAAATTTTGAAGACCTGATGGATATTTAATGGAAATATTTGCCCAAGATGTAGTAATTGTGAAAAGGATAATATCAACACTAAAAATTACTAGGAGAGAGCTTGAAATATTCTGTCTGTGATGTGGATATCAATGAATAACATATTGCGCACAATTCTGTTTGCCTCATATTGAAGAAAATAGTTTAGGGCTGGAAAAGATACTGAAGAAAATAATCCAAATTAATTATCTAGTGGTTGAGTGCTGTTCATATAAAGAAAGGCTAAGATATTTAGGCCTTTGAATATCACCATTACATCAATGTCAGAGATTACAATGAGACATAAAGGGGAAATGAGATAAATTTTTGTTTCAGTTTGGCTCCCAAGCCATATTCAAGTGTAGGAAACTATGACATTATATAACAAAGTGGCTAAGAAACTGTGTTACTGACATCATTTCTCAACCTTTTTTTCATACCCAGGGAACACCTGGACTTCCAGGTAATACTGGTCCTATTGGACCACCTGGACCTCCTGGAAGACATGTAAGTGATCAGCTTCAGAGATTTTAAACTGCATATTGCAAGAATTCATGATTTAATTAGGTGTTGTCTAAATTGATCCCTAATCTAAAGTTCTCCTCCAACTTTAGGTATGTTAAACATGCACTGGGTTCAGCTAGATCTCACATCAGGTGATTTCAGAGAATTCCCCCCCTTTTTTTTGAGGCGAAGCAACATTTCTCCAGGTGTACCCAAATGGAATTGATATTAGCATGAACAATTTCAGAACAATTTCAATATTTTAATGGTCTACAGAAAGGGTGATTATAGATTTGCAAAATGTATGTATATGAAAAATGTCAAGGCAATATTGAATGACTGAGCCATCCCTCCTTCTTTGCACCAACCTTATACCCAGCCAATGCCACGAGACCTTGGGAGTTCTTGCTAATGGGTAGGTGACCCATTCCACAGCTCCATTCTGCAGAACTCATTGAAGCAGATCCTGTGAAGCAAGAATCAAACCACTTAACCTGCTTAGCTTTTGTTTTAGCTTAGCTTGGCTTTCCAAGACAGTTCACAGAATGAATGAATCATTTTGTAGTGGGAACATGCAAATGGAAGGGTGAGCCAAAGTTGTTCATGTTCCTTTCCAATACCTTATTCTTTCCATCAATCTTCAGTCCAACAAACTCTTTTTCCAGTATTGAAAATTTTACGATATTATATTTTTCATCCTCCTTGCTCCTTTTGAAGAAACCTTTTTCACTTATTCTTTCTGTTATTGTGTCTTATGTCATGTTAGGTCTTTTTTTTCTCTCTTCCCCAACATTAGGTCTTATTATAATAGGTAAGGTTTCAATTCAAGTGCTATGGCTGCATGGCACTTTAGATGTGATTTTGAAAAAGATGCTTTGATGTTCAGGAAATACAGGCAGAGCATCTGTCCCTAATTCTTCAAAGCAGCCACAATTTTGATTCAGACTTGTACTATGTTTGGACTCCTGAATTCAGAAAAGTCGTCATCTAAAAATGCTTCACTGAAGTATCTTCTCAAGCAAAGAAGATGTTAGCAACCAGCATGTAATGTTTCTTTCCTCCCGGCTAGCTTTTGCAATAAAAAGAAAAAAGTCTTCCAGGTCTCACCAATTGTTATTTGTAGAAATGAGTGTAAGAACACAGTTTGGAATATTAAGGTAGTCAGTTGAACTTGAACTGTTATCAACATCCTTGGATCTCAAGAACTGGAATTCATCCAAGACTTTTAGAGAAATTAATATTCTGTCCTTTACTAATAGAATTTGATTGATTGTGATGTTCATACCACTAGGTATGAAAAAATGAGTGACTATCAATTTCTGTTTTGATAAAGGTTGAAGAAGAGAAGAAATATATAACAGTAATGGTACAAATAGGCTTTAAAACAAAATAAGTTGTAAACATTTCCATGCTTTTTATTAAAATGTTTGAAACTATTATTCTTTGCCTGAATAGAATTGCTGGCTGTCATGCAATCGCATTATGCTCAGATCAGATCAAAGAAGCAGCATGAAATGAAAATCCTACTTGTAAAGAGATCATTCATTAATGAAACTAAACTTTTGAAATAAATATAACGCAAAGAATTAATAGAATGTTTAATTTTACAGGGTATTCCTGGGCCACCTGGACCTCCAGGTGAGAAGGTAAGGCTGGCTTCTTTGGCACTTTTATTCAGTATAAATTATTTGGAAAAATAATCAAAGTACAAATATTTATTTAAATATTTTATAGACCTTGATGGACAAAACAATCTAAATTAACTGAATAACACTACAGAATAACAAAGTTGGAAGGGACCTTCGAGGTCTTCTAGCCCAAACCCCTACTCAGGCAAGAAACCCAATAGCATTTCATTCAAATGGTTGTCCAATCTCTTCTTAAACTTCCAGTGTTGGAGCACCCACAACCTCTAGAGGCAAGTTGTTCCAGTGATGAATTGTTCTAACTTTCAGGAAAGTTACAGGTTGCTTCTCTCCTTGATTAGTTTCCCACCCATTGCTTCTTGTCCTGCCCTCAAGTGCTTTAGAAAATAGCTTGACTCCCTCTTCTTTGTGGCTACCCCTTAGCTAGTGGAACATTGCTATCACATCACCCCTAGCTCTTCTTTTCATTAGACATCCTGATTCCAGCAACCATTCTTTATATGTTTTAGCCTCCAGTCCTCTAATCACCTTTGTTGTTGTTCTCTGCACTCTTCTCTGCATACTACACATACTGTATTTTTCAGAGTATAAGACACACCTTTTTTCCTCAAAAAAAGAGGCTGAAGATCTGGGTGCATCTTATACATCGAATACAGCAATTTTTGCCTCCTGAAGCCCCGACCCTTTCACCAAAATGGCCGTGCATATCCTTATGGAGGTTTTCAGAGAGTTCCTGGGGGCTGGGGAGGGCAGAAATGAGCAAAAACGGACTGTTTTTTTGTCATTCCCCCCGCCAACTTCCAGCAGCATTCTATAAACCTCCATAAGATATCCATGCAATGTTTTTGATGAAAAACAGAATGGGCTGTATTTTGCTCATTTCCACACACACCCCTCAGCAGGTGCTGCTGCTGAGGCAGTGCGGCGGTGGTGGTGGGGGAATCGGGGCGCTGCCCGCTATGCACAGTGAGCCCAGGAGCAGTAGCTGCCACCAGCTACCCTGCGCCACCATCACTCGCTCCCCCTCAAGCCATCGGCCAGGCACGCAGAGGGGGAGTGGCGACAGCAAGGACAGCTGAGTGGGGGTAGCACTTTGGTGGGTGAAGAAGAGCCGAACTAAGGGGAAAAAAGATCTGCCGGGCGGGGGAGCAGGGTGGGTCGCTCCATGGTGGGAGCCTTTTATTATTATTTTCTTTTCTCCTCACGAGAGTCACACCGACAGCAGCAGC